AAAGGTCACACAGCTAGTGAGTAGCAGAGCCAAGATTCACACCCAGGCAGGGTAGCTCCAGAGTCTGCTATGCTCTGCTGCAAGGGCTAGTGCACATCAAACCCTTAACACAGGGTGGCACAGAACATGGTTCAGGAAAGTCTTCAGGTTGCTTGAAGTCTGGAGGGTCTTCTCCTGGCTCCTGGCAGCTCCCAACCCTCGGTCATTCTAGCCCCCAAGTTTGGTGGTGATGTGTTTTTTTGTTTGTTTGTTTTTTGGCACCTGGCCAGCCCAGGGATTCAAACCCTTGATCTTGGTGTTATAACACTGCACTCTAACCAACTAAGCTATCGTGGCTTTTTAAAAATTATGGTAAAATGCATATAAAAAAATTGATCTTAACAAAACATACACATACAAAAAATACATATAACAAAAATTTACCTTAACCGTTTTTAAGTATACAGGTGTTCAGTGGTCTTACAGTTTTGGAGGCTAGGAAGTCCAAAGTCCAGGGAACATATCTGGTGAGGGTCTTGGAGACGGTGACAGTGACAAAGGGGTTTTACATGGCAGAAAATGGCAAAGCAGAAAGAGAGACTAACATCCTCATTCACTCTCCTTTTAAATGCACATTTTGTTTATCTGTTTTTCTGACAATGGACACTTGGTTTGCTTCCACATTTTGGCTATTGTGAACAATGCTGCTATGAACACTGGTATACAAATATCTGTTCAAGTCCCTGATTTCAAATCTTTCAGGTATCTACCTGGAAGTGGAATTGCTAGATCATATGGCAATTCTGTGTCTAATGTTTTGAGGAAATGCCATTTTCCGTAGCAGCTGCACCATTTTACATGCCCATGCCCCTGAGTTCTTAGATTTCCTCATTTTTCCCTATTTCCTCACTCCTAATGATGATGTTCTCCTGTGCTTGCTAACAGCTCTCAAGGAGAGGACATTCTGTCCTTCTCCCCTTATATAACTCTCAGGAAGACTTTAAAGCTGAGATGGTCCTTAGAGCTCATCTAGTCAAACTTTGCCCACTTTTCAAATGAGGAAACTGAGGCCCAGAGATGGGAGGTGGTTCATCCATGGTCACAAGCAAAAGCTAGGACCAGACTTTTCTGATTCTCAGGCTGCTGCCCTTTTGTGATTCCACCCTTCCACTAATCCATAGCTCCATTGCCAAATGAGTGCAGTTGCCATCTGTATCTTCTGAGAGTGGAGCCGAAGATGCCTGGGACCCTGGGGTGAGGATGGGGGGAGGAAAGCCAGACCACAGCCCTAGGCGGAAAGTGATCTATCCAGAGCAGTCATGCCTCAGAACAGAACTTGACCCCTTCTCTCCGCACAGGACCATCCTCCCTACCACCTCAAGGCCTTCAACGTGTGCATCAACTTCCCTGAGGAGTATCCATTCAAACCCCCCACAGTGAAATTCACAACCAAGATCTACCACCCCAACGTGGATGAGAACGGACAGGTTTGCCTGCCCATCATCAGCAACGAGAACTGGAAGCCTTGCACCAAGACTTTTCAAGGTGGGACTGGGCCTTGCATAGAGGGAGGAACTAATACGAGGTGGGGTTACTGAGTGGGAGGTCAACAGACTTATTTTGATCTAGAAAAGCCCAAAAGAGAGGAGATCGAAATTGTGCATATAAGCTGAACGCACCGTCAGATAGGAGGGATCCTTCCTGAGATCCTGCAAGGGCTGACCTGCTGCTGCCTCTGTTCCTACCCCTGGGCATGTGTGACACAGGAACTTTGCCATGGTTCATGGGAAGGAGAGGCAGCGTGACCTCAGAGGGAAGGGCTTGGGATAAGAAGGCTGCTGTTCCCTCTGTGGACTTTGGGCAAGTCTCTGTTCCTTTCTGGGACTCAATGCCCTAAATGATAACAGAGGGGATTGGCCTAGTAATGAGGATTCCTGCCACTTAACTGAACATTCTTGGCACTGTGCCAACAGTGTCACACACCAACTTAATTTAATCCCCCAGCAACCCCATGAGATAGTGCTATTGTGTGCCTTATTCAATAGTTGGGGACACTGAGGCATATGAGAAGTGAAGTGGTTGCCTAAGGTCATGTAGCTGGCAGGTGGCAGAGCTTGGCTGACTCTAGGGCAGTGCTGTCCAGCAGAACTTCCTGCACTGATGGATGTGTCCTATCACTGCACTATCTAATACTGTAGTCACTAGCTACATGTGGCCAGTGTGACTGAGGAACTCAATTCTTATTTGTATTTAATTTTAATTAATTTAAATTTAGATAACCCAGGTGGCTAGTGGCTACCATATTGGACAAGGCAGCTCTTGAACTTATGGGCTTAATCAGTGTGCTGAAGCACATCTGGACCAGCTCAGGAGTTTTTAACCTGGGAAACAAGGATCCTTGCGGGGAGGTGAGGAAGAGTGGTCCTTGGACGAGTTTCAGGGTGTCTGTGAAGCATTCTTCACTCCAAACAGTATGTTTGTGCATCTGCATCTGTGCATATGCCTCGGGAGAGGGGCTGCCGCCTTAACCAGGTCCCCAAAGGCAGCTGGAAAGATAAAGAGCCCCAGGGCAGTAGTGGTTTTCTTTCTTTAGCCTGGAAATCCTTTTTTCCAAATACAAGTTTATTTGGAATCTCAGTATAACAGAAGAAAACAGAGTGGTTCTTGTTGCAGTGGGGGTGAGACCCAGAAACCCCGCTTATCTCAGTGACCCCCATGGTGAGCAGCTTCTCTGAAGCCATGGAACATAATTGTTCTGAAACCACCAATACAACCAGTCAAGGCTTTGGGTATCATCAAGCAAGAAAGAAAGGGACATTTGATTTGGTTGTACAGTCATCCCAAAAGATGGAATCTCCTTGGGGGTCTCCCACAGAGTGGGTGTGGAGTATAAGGGGGATCTGGGAGTGGGTAACTATCACCTCTTTCCCAGGGTTTTTTGCCTCTGCCCTGATGTCCTGATCTGGCCTCTCTCCCCAGTCTTGGAGGCCCTCAACATGCTGGTGAATAGACCGAATCTGGGGGAGCCACTGCGGGTGGAACTTGCTGACCTGCTGTCGCAGAACCCGGAGCTCTTCAAAAAGAATGCTGAAGAGTTCACCCTCCGATTTGGGGTGGACCGGCCCTCTTAACTCTGGTTCTGATCCCTCTCCATCCTGGATCCTCTGCATGGTGGATGGACATACCTTGTGGACTGGGACCAGAGCCCCTGTACAGCCCATTCCCTGCTCAATTTTTCTTTCTTGGGTTGTTAGTCATTAGTTTGTGTGTGTGGTGGGGGGAGGGGGGCTTCTGGCATGTGTGTGGGGTGTGGACTCACTTCCTACTCCTTTGCCTTCCCCAGAGCCAGGGGAATTTAGGTTTGCAGAGATACAGGCCAGTTCCCCAGCTCTCCATCTTAGGGAAACAGGTCACCTTCCAGGCCAGCTTGCAGGAAATGAGCCCAGTGGTCAACTAGAATCCCCCCGGGGACCAGACACTCAGGGGCCAGGAGAGCGAGGAATACAGGTGGGGGTAGGGCACTTGGAGGGTATCTTATTTACGACGCAGTGATTGAAATCAGCCAAACTACTGATAGGCATGTACAGGTTTAGGTGCTAAACCTTTTAATTTCCCACTGATGAATCATAAAATGAAGAATCTAACCTCCATCCTGGAATTCTGACTATGTGTTTTGAAACTACTTGCTATCTCATTAAGTGGCCAGTTCCTGGGGGCCAGGCCTCGGGCCGTGAGGTGTGTGCCCTCCAGCATCCAGTCCAGGGGGAGCCACCAAAACCATGTGCTTGCCTGGTCATTAAAGTCACAGGTGAATTCTGGAGGGAGTTCGGCTAAGTCTTTGTTGACAGGGGATGGTGGGGTGGGAGAGAGGGTTAGGGTTAGGACAAGAGACGGCTGGGGATTCAGCTGCCATCTAATAAAAGGTGTGACCCTGCTTACCATAGACATTTCCCAAACATTGTGGGAATGCTGGCCATGAGAGAATAGGCCATCCCTGGCCAGAGGTACCTTCGAAAGGTCCACAGGGATAACATCCCGTTATATAGACGAGGCCCCTGAGGTGCAGAGCACTACAGTGAGATGCATGGGTCCACTCTGCCAGTCAGGGCAGAGTCCACACCTGCAGCCATGCCAACCTGGCTGGGTTTTGTTTTCTGCTTTTCGTTTCTTCATGAGCAGCTTTTGTCTGCACACATACATGCTCCAAATGGCCGATGAAGCCAGACTGAATTGTTAGCAGGAAATTATAGTCAGCTCAGGAGTTCATCTCTAATGAGCAATGGAAAAGTGAAAACTTTAGCCAGAGTTGGAGGATTAACTTATCCTAAAGGAAGAACTTTCTGGTTGCAATTGTAATAAGCTACTAGAAAACCGCTGGCTTTTAAGAGACAGAATTGGGGTGTCTTTAAGTCAAGGGAGTCACCCCAAGCCCCACTAGCCCAGTTGGGGTGAGATTTCTTGAGAGTATTCTACTGTACCTCCTGCTCTGGAGTTTCCTAATCTGCAAAGAAGTGTGGAAAGAGGGGAAGAGAATTGGGAAAATGCAGATGGTTTGAAATGTAAATTTGTTTTTATTTTTGGCTACCTGTTATTGAACACTTATGTGGCAGGCACTAGGCAAAGCTTTTTGCCCCTTTCATAGTCTCATTTACCTCTTTCAGCATCTCAGTGAGGTTGGAATTCCCACTATCCCCTTTGAAACTGTAAACTGAGGCTCAGAGAGGCTAACTCACTGGCCCAAGGTCATACAGCTGGTTAGTGGTGGACCCAGGCTATTGTCCTTTCTCAAAGCCTTGCACAGCTGTTAAGAAAGTGAGGAAGCGCCTTCAGTGCAGAGGTTCCTGGGCAGGGAGGGAGAGAGTACTGAGGGGCCAAACAGGATTTTACAAAAGTACTTTTAATGCACTTAAGACTGGTGCCACCTGCCCTCGCCCAAGCCCTGGCTCTGCTGCATGGAGCAGAAGCAAGCCTCTGGGCCACGGGTGCTCTGCCCACCTGCCCCCACAGGGCCAGTCATCTCCTCATTTCTTCTTGGTCTTCACCAGTCCCTTCTGCACGAGGCTGCGGTACAGCTCCTGGATGTAGGTGTAGACGCACTTGGAGTCGGGCACTGCCAGCCGTACCATGTCATCCACCTCCAGCAGCTGGGCACAGTCAGCCAGTTTCCTGAGGGATGGGTGGGGTGGAGAGCAGAAGACCAAAGGTGAAGCTTGTGGGAGCCAAGGGAATGGGTGGGAGCAGCCCAGTAAGGATGAAGCCCATAGAATCATGTATGTTGGAGCTGGAAGATCATCTAGGCCAACCATCCCATTGTACAGGTGATGTAACTGAGGCCCAGACAGAGTTAAGACTCAAACCCAAATGGGTCTGATTCCAAAGCCCACGTTTCAGTGCACCATGAGTGCTCACATGGGAACAGGAGCCTCCAGTTTCTAGTTCTGCATTAACCCACCCTTTTTACACATAGATCTGTCCTTTGGAACGAGGGAGCTCCTGTTGGGCCAGGCCCCTCAGGAAGAATTTAAAGGAAAGAACTTGAATCCTAGCCAGAGTGCTGGCTTGTAGCTACAGCATCCCCAAGGGCTTCATTCAATCAGTCTCTGTGTATTTATTGAGAGCCTACTGTGTGCCAGGTACTGTTATAGGTTCTGGGGATTCAGCAGTGAACAAAACCAAAACTTCCCCACTCTCATGGCACTGACATTCTTGTGGAAGGAGACAGACAGGGATCAAACATGAAGTAGATGGTACATCAGATGGTGAGAGGTGCTGAGGAGGAAAATAGCACAGAAGGGAGACAGGATCTTCTGTGTGAGAGAGGGGGGCTGGTCTTTTTAAGAGGGTGCTCAGGGAAGGCTTCTTCTGGGGGAAAGGATTCCAGACAGAGGAAATGGCATGTGCAGAGGCCCCAAGGCAGGAATTTTTGGCGTGTTTGAGGAGCTGCATGGAACTTCGCAGCAAGTCCCCTTTTTCTAACTTCCCAGCTGCCCTTTGGGGCCATGTGATACTCCTGGCTTTGCTGAGGCTGACAGTCTGAGCTAATCACTGTGGGGACCTCACTACCACGTCACGTGCTGTGTCAGATGCTTCCTTTCGGAAAGTCTCATTTACTGCTCCTCTCCATCCTCAATCAGCAGAAAAGCCCAAGGTCAAAGTGAGTGACACAGCTGGGACTCAACCCCTGGCCTGCCTGACACCTTTGGCAAGCTGGCTCTGAAGCTGGGTGTCAGCAGTCGCAGCCCACCACAGCCGGCCATGGGTGTTGGCAGCTGGAGAAACCAGGGCCCCAGCGGAAATCCCCTCTTGGGCCTGGGACAGCTGGGCTGAAATCCAAGCCAGGCTGGCCTGGGAGCCGGGGGAAGGGCGCAGACTGGCAGATTTCGAAGAATGGGCGAGCTCCCTGCAACCAGTGCGTGGATCTCCGCGGCGTGGGTGTGGGTGGGAGGGCTGAAACCTTGGTCCCCATTGAGTCTGGGGGGCGGGGGACGGCTCCTCCAGCAGCATAACTGATGGAGCCCATTGGGGCCTGGCCATGGCCTTTCCTTCCCCTATCTCAGGACTCCAAGGAATCAGAGGAGAGTTCTGGAACAGGGCAGTGGGATGTGCCAGCTGTGGCAGAGGCGCCTTACTTTTCACACTTAGTCTTCACACCCAACCCTGTGATATGAGGTTTCCAGAGAAGTTAAGTCAGCTGCCGAGGGGCACAGGGCCAGGAAGGAGGAGTCGGGATTCAAACCCAGGCACCTCATCTGTCCTCCCCACCCTCCATCTCTATGCATCCTGCCACCTCCTTCCCTTTTTTCTGCCTGATGCCTCCTGTCATCCTGTCATCATCTTCTGATTATTCCTTCCACCTTCCTGAGGCTCTGCCTGGCTTGGAACCAGAGGCCAGGCAGCTGCAGGAGGAGGACAGTGACCCATGCCCTACAGGCCGGGGACGTCCGGTCGGGCAGGGCTGCATGCCCTTTTCTGTTCTCTTGGAGCTTGAAGTCCAGACTAGGAGTTTCGCTCTCAATCCCTAGTCCTGCCACAGCCCTCCTGTAGAAAGCTGGAAAATCACATAACCTGTATACTTGCTTCCACAGAACGTATAGGATTGTTGTGAGGATCGAATGAGATGGTCCAAGTGAAGCATTTAACAGACCACCTGGCACCGAATCACTCTCAATTCTTATGGCTATTGTCATCATTAGAGGTGTTCCTGAGCCCATAGTATGCGTGGTGCTTCCGACTGCCTTATTCCCCGCCCCAGGGCACCCACCCCATTCCTTGGCAGGATAATGTGAAACTGGAAGGAACCTTCTGCAACACTGAGTCTGATGATTTTTAAATGGCATCCTTGGTGTCCTAGGGCCTTATGGGCATGCCTCCAAGACCATCCTAAAAAAGTCTCCTTTTAATCTGTTTTATATGTTTGGCATACACTTAATGTTTTATTTGAGGGTATCTGCTGGGAAAAAATTTGAAAAACATAAATCAATATTAATCCCTTCATTTTGCTGATGGGGACACACAGGCCTCCGTGCAGGGTGATGGCCAGTCCTGGACTAGACTAGAGGGCTCCCAGACTAAGGTGCTCCTAACATCCCCATTGACTTATTCCCTGTCTCAGGGCTTAGAAGTGCACTAAGCCATCCACTCTGGGGCATCAGAGTTGCCAGCCTTGGCCACACTGTCTGCACAGCCCTGGCCCTGCCAGGCAGCTCAGAAGCCTCTGCCCGAGCCTCTCCCTGATGCTGGAGAGAATGGGTGCTCCTGGGCTGAGCTCCTGGTAAGCCCTAAGGCCATCAGGGGACTTGGCAGCCCTTGCCTAGTGGGTGGAGATGGAGGTCACTGGCTAAGCCTGGCTTTGGTGCTTGGTTGGGGGATCACCTTCCCTTTGGCTACACTGGCAGCTATGGTTTTGCCTCTCAGGTTTTTTTTCGGGCCAGAAGTCTGAGAGCAAGGGAGGAACCCACACCCGTTCTCACGCCCCGTTTGCCTTTCTCGTATACCGCCCTTTCTCCAGCAACCACACCCTGACACCAGTCTGTATGAGCCGCAGCCATAACTCCCCTCCAGGCTCCAAAGTGAATGGTAATTATCATTACAACAGTAATGTCACTCACTATAGGACAGTAGCAGCAGCTAAGATTTTTTCAAGTGCTTACCATGGGTTAGGCACTGCTATAGGAACTTTACTTATTTACTTATTTAATTCTCACAGTAATCTTGCAAAAGAGGATACATCATGCCCATTTTAGAGATCAGAACATGGAGGCTCAGAGAAGTCAAGGAGCCTGTCCAAGATCACATCCAGCTGACAAATGGTGGAGTCAGAGTCTGACCCCAAATCTCTGCCATCCCCTGTCTAAAACAGCCGGCCTGTTTCTCCTCTGTCCCTCACCTTGCCTGAATTTCCTTTATGGCACCTCTTGCCACCCGGCATTAAATGGCACTTGCATCCCTTTAGAATGCAAGCCACGGGTGAGCAGGGATTTTTGTGTTTCACCCGCTCCTGTATCCCCATAGCCTGAAACAGTGCCTGGTACTCAAAAAATACCTGTGGGATACATGAATGTGTGACCTCGACGTCAATCTGACTATCCCGCCAGCCACACTCTGTGAATCCAGCCCTCATCCTGGGTGCCCCAGCTCCCATCCGGCTCTGCCACCCATGCTGTGGCTTACTCTGCGGTGGAAAAGGCCAGGGTGAAGTTGTGCCGGCGCTTCGTGGGGTCCAGCTCAGCGTAGTCAAAGGCGTCAGGGAAGAACTTGTGGATGAGGGCGCAGAAGGCCATGCCGCTGGCCCAGCTGGAGGAGAAGTTCTGGATGTCCACGTGCTGCAGGCGGGCACAGAGGAGGCCTCGGTGAGCCTCGGCCCAGGGGGTCTGGACTTGGCCGCCTTCCCAGCCTCCCATCCTTTGGGGTTTGCACCTCTCAGCACCTCCCCAGCACTGCCGCCTCTGGGGAGGGGTTCCTTGCCCCACCCACATGTCCCTGTCCTGTGCCCACCTCATAGTTCCTGGTCATGGCCCGGCACCACTCCAAGAGCATGTTCTTGACCCCGCCGATGGCTGTCCCGGCTGCCCTCGTGTTCCGGAACAGCGCCGTGGGGCCCGAGGCAGCCCTGTGTGGGGAGGGAGGTACGAGAAGAGGCAGGAGGCCACGAAGGGCCCTCTCGGGAGGAGCCCCAGGCCCAGAGGTCAGTCCTCCTGTTCCTGCCGCCCTCTGGCCTCCCTCCCACCAAGCCACAGTTCCCAGGGAAAGCCCAGCCCAGCTCCTCGCCTGCGTCCTACCCGCCAAACTTGTCCACGATGGCTTTCCGGTTCTGCGCACGGGGACCCCGGGGCCGGGCAGGGGCTGACACCCTGCGCTCTGGTGCCCTCTCCTTCTTCTTCTCCCCTGATGGAGGGGGCTCCGGGGGACTCTGGGGCACATCACTGGGTGAAGACTCACTATGTGGAGAGGTCAGGAGAAGCATGAGAGGGGTGGGGACCCCCACTAAAGGACACAGGGAGGGGCTGTGGGGCTGGGTGGGGGTGTCACTGCAGTCTAAGGGCCATGTGCAGTTGGAGGCCAACAGTTGATGCACATTTCTGTGCCCAGCACTGGGAGTGGTTGAGAAGGAATAGTGAGGCCCAGTCTAACTTTGGGGAAAGTGTGGTCTGGTGAGGATATGAGGGCAGAACTAGGACACATCCGAGGTCTGACCTGAGCTTTGCCACTCATTTGCTGTGTGATCTTGGGACTGTCACATCACTTCTCTGAGCCTCAGCTTTCTCATCTGTAAAATGGGGACAGGAATACCTACCCAACAAGGTGGCCGTAAGGCCTGCATAAGAAGGTGAATGTAAAGCACCCAGCTGTGCCTGCCAGTGAATATTCGCTGGTTGTCTTTCCCCAAGAAAGGGACAGGAGGTAGACTGCAGCTTGATGTAAAGGAAGAGCCTCCTAATGACTGCAGATGTGCAGTGGCAAGTGTAAGGCTGTTGTTTCATCCAGCTCCTGCCATGCACCGGGCACCCTGCTTAAGTGCTTCACGTGCTTTACATCACTTAAGTCTCACAATCCTACACTGTAGATACAATTGCTATGCCCACTTCACAGATTAGAAGAGGTTAAGTGACATGGCTAAGGTCACACAGCTGGCATGTGGCAGAGCCATTGTCCAAACTCAGGCTTTCTGCTTGTGCTGTTACGGATGATGCCGACAGCTGCTGTGATGAGACACGGGCTGCGAGATAAGGAGCTCCTGGGAAGAGTCAGGGGTGCTGAAGAGGAGGCCCCTCCACATTGCCTGAGTGTCTGGCTCCTTTGGTTTCCTGGACTATGCCCTGGGAAAGGAAGCTGAATGCCAGAAATCCTGGAATACGTTGAAATCAGATGCTGGGGGAGGGCAGACTGCGATGATGGTAGATAGACTCTGAGGGAACAGGAGGTAGGGGAAGTTGGAGCTAAAGCCCCAGTGTTTGACGTTACCTGGCTGGAGGACTGGTCTCTCCAGAGGCTGCAGAGTCTGGACCCAACCCATCTGGAGGAAAGAAATAGAAGGGAGGGAAGTTGGGGCTATCCATAGGGGCCCCTTGCACCCCCCCCCCCCCCCGGTCCCCCCCCCCCCCCCCCGGGGTCCCCCCCC